AGCGCAATGGATCCAAGACTTGTGCTGGCGATCGTTAGAGCCTGAGCATCAGACTGGGGCTCAGGTAGCAGAGACAGTAGCCCTAGAGCAGTTCCTACAGGTCCTGCCAAAAGGCGACAGAGAATGGGTTCAACGACACCTCCCGAAGACACTCACCACAGCCATCTCCTTAACAGACGACTATATAGCAGCTGAAGAGCCAGACCAGAAACCAAGTAAATGGCAGGTCAGGGGGCCCAGGAGGGTAAATGGAGGTGCACAGCCCTCCCATGCTGGACCACCTTAACACAGTTCCTACAGGTCCTGCCAAAAGGCGACAGAGAATGGGTTCAACGACACCTCCCGAAGACACTCACCACAGCCATCTCCTTAACAGACGACTATATAGCAGCTGAAGAGCCAGACCAGAAACCAAGTAAATGGCAGGTCAGGGGGCCCAGGAGGGTAAATGGAGGTGCACAGCCCTCCCATGCTGGACCACCTTAACAATCCAGGGTAACTTGGCTAAATGAAGCCATTAGGGACACGATGGGATGGGGAACCCTCCCCCCCCCCCTCGCAAGACTCCACCTATGAGGCAAAGTGGGAGTGGCTTTTACTAGTGTGGCCAAGAGGGATTGTCCCCTCGTGGATTGCACTTATGGGCAAATGCTGGTGGTGGGGTGGAGGGCCCGCAAGAGAGATGTGGCCAAGGTAGTGCTGCCTGTACAAGTGAACAGAACGCACACCACTGCCCTAGTACACTCCAGCTGTAGCCAAAGCATTGTACAAGTGGGTGTGGTGCTGCTACCCGACCACCTGAGTGTTGCAGTACAACTACAGTGCATCCATGCACCTAACCGACAACCTAGGTGATGCTGGAAGCTGGACAGCATGAAGGATGATGTTGAGTCGTGGTGGCTCTGAAACCACCCTACCTGGTGGTCCTAGGGTGCGATTGGCTGGGTTTCACAGATCTGCTACAAGAGGGAAGCCCACAATCCACAAACACAGCAGAGGCCAGGACTGCTCAGAGAGCATTGATAGGCAGGCTGCAGGCTGATGACCCAGGCGAATGACCCTCGTGAGGCCTGGCAACCCCCAGAGCCGAACCCAGCCCAACAAGAGCCCCTGCAGAACCCAGGCCAGTAGAGCTGGAGCTTGATGGGGAGTTCCTCGAGGAGCAGAGGAACAATCCAACCCTCAGCCAAGCATGGGAACAAGCAGCACGCCCTTCCCCTGAAGGGGATCTGCCACTGCATCAGCCCCAAGGACCCTGGTTTGAGAGATGCCAAGATCTTCTTTACCACCTAGCCCCAGATCCCCAAACCCAAGCTGACATTTGCCAGCTGCTGGTCCTGTGACAATGCTGACAGGGACTGTTATATTTGGCATGTGCAGTATCCTGGGTGGGACACCTGGGACAAGAGAAGACACTACAGAGGGTAGCACAGCAATTCTTCTGGCCCGGAATCCACCAAGGAGTTTGACTACTGTGCATTGTGCCCCAAGTGTCAGAAGACCAGCACCATGGGTGTCCCCCAAGCTCCGCTAGGTTCCTACTACTGGCAAGGCTACCTGTTTGAGCAGATCAGACTGGATCTGGTGGGCCCACTAGAAAGGAGTGGTACAGGACCTAAGTACATCCTAGTAGCAGTGGACTATGCCACATGGTCCCCCAAAACGGTCCCCCCATGAACAGGCATGGCCTGCACCATTGCTGAGGGACTCTTGAAAATATTCTCAAGGGTGGGACTGCCTCAAGAAATACTTTACAGACCAAGGGATGAAAGTGACCTCGAAACTTATAGCAGAGTTGTGACATTTACTGAACATCCATGCTCTCAGAACCTTGGTCTACCACCCTCAGACTGATGGGTTGGTGGAGTGATTCAACAAGACGCTGAAGTCAATGCTATGAAAGTTCGTGGAAGATGACCCCCGGCACTGGGATAAGATGCTGCCAGCCCTGATGGTTTGCAGTGAGGTAAGATCCCCAGGCTTCCACAGGTTTTTCAACCTTTGAACTCCTCTACGGGCAACAGCCCTGGGGGATTCTGAACCTCTTGTGGGAGACCTGGGAGGAACAAAAGACCCATGCTCAAGGGTCAGTTCAGTACATATTACAATTTGGGGAACAGCTGCATGAATTAAGCCGTCTAGCCTGGGAGAATCTGCAGCAAGCCCAGAACGCCCAAGCAGCCACTACAACTGTGGGGCGAAGACACAGACCTTCCAGCTGGCAGACCGGGTGTTGCTACTACTGCTCTCCTTGGAGTTGAAACTGCTAGCTAAGTGGCAAGGACCACGTTGACTATGAGGTGCAGCTGCCAGGGCAGTGGAGGGAGATGCAAATCTACCAAGTGAATCTCCTCAAGGCCTGGAAGGAGCGAGAGGCCCTGATGATCACTCCCCCAGAGCCAGAATTGGGACTGTTAGCAGAAGGAGTTTGAGCCTCAACCTGTCTATGTTGGATGAGAACTCGACCCTGAGTGGCAAGAGCAGCTGCATTGGCTAATACACAACTTTGCACACATCCTGTTTTCTAAGCCGGGGAAGACAAGACTGATGAGCTACCAAATCACCACCCCACACAGGCCAGAAGGTGAGACAACCATCGCCTGCTCCCCAGAAAGATGTGGAACACAGTACGGGAGGAGCTGACCCAGATGCTAGCCCTAGGCATAGTGGAGGAGACTGGGAGTGAGTGGAGGAACCCAATAGTACTGGTGCCCAAACCTGATGGGGCAGTCAGGTTCTGCATAGACTTCAGGAAGGTGAATGCCATATCACGATTTGACGCGTACCCAATGCCTAATGTAGAAGAGCTGCTTGAGTGGTTGGGCTGCACAAAGTTCATATCCACCCTTGACCTGACCAAAGACAACTAGCAGATCCCACTCATGCCAGCAGCAAAGAAGACAGCATTCCCAACCCCCTTTTGGGCTTTCAGTTTACCATGATGCCTTTCAGCTTGCATGGAGCGACAGCCACCTTCCAGCAGCTTATGAACAAGGTGCTGGGCCCCCACAATGCATACACAGCTGCCTACATTGACAACATTGTGATCTACAGTGGCAGTTGGGCAAAAAACCTACAGCACTTCACACAGGTTCTGTAAGCCTTGGCAGAGGCAGGTCTCACTGCAAATCCAGCCAAATGACACTGGGGCCAGCGCAAGGTGAGCTATCTGGGCTACGTAGTCGGCAAGGGACAACTCCAACCACTGATAGACAAGGTGTGAGCTCTGCAAGACTACCCCACTCTGATAACGAAGAGGCAAGTGTGGCAGTTCTCAGGGCTAGTGGGATACCACTGTTGCTTTATACCAAACTTTGTCACCCTAGCCGCCCCTCTTACAGACCTCATGAAGAACCACTAGTCTCAGCACATTGAATGGTTAGAGGACTGAAGTTGCCTTCCAAACACTGTGGGAGCAGTTGATGTGGGAATTGGTCTGCAACTCCAGCTCCTCCCCCCCCGGCAGTGGGGAGCCTGCACTGGCAATCCACTCTTGGGTCCGGTGCCCTAGGCTCCGATCGGTGTGGACCGAGGTCCCGATCCTGTCCGGAAGCTGGTACCAACGAAGAGGAAGGGGACAACTCAATAAGGTCCCTGGCCGCCTCAAATGCCTCCGGAGTTGAAGGCTCCGGGAAATTGCCCACCAGACTAGGGTCCCAGTGCGGGCTGGGCCTTCTGCCCAACCTCAGCGCCCGATGGTGCCATGTGCCCCACTGGAGGGCGCATGGAGGGCACGTGCCATGGGGGCGACCTGCCCCTGCTGGGCCTCCTCTTCTTCTGAGGCACTGGGGACTGGGAACGGTGCTGAGGTCTGCGTGGTGCCGGGGAGGGACACGTGCGGCTCGAAGGCTCCTGCACCGAGGCCGGTGCACTTGGCGTCGCCGGTGCTGGGTCCAACCGCCTCTCCATTAAGATAATCTTCAGGCGTGGACTGGTGCTCCCGCTTCGTTCGCGGTTTAAACTCCTTGCAGGTCTTGCAGGCCTCAGACAAGTGAGCCTCGCCCAGGCACTTAAGGCAGGCAGAGTGCAGGTCACCGCAAGGCATAGGTCGCTGGCACCATTCGCAGGGTTTGAAGCCCTGGGGGCCGGGCACGCCCTGCTGCACACGCAGAGCAAGGAGCACTGCGGGCCCTTAGCACTACCAAACAGTACTTAGCACTAAGAAAACAGCACTTAGCAACTAATCAGGAACAGATATGGTCAAACTGATAAAACTGGAACAGGAACAAAGAACTTGAGAACAAGATAAGAGCAAGAACACATTCCAATGACCTTCAGGAGTGGTAAGAAGGAACTGGGGGGAGGGGGGGGTTTGCGTTGCTCATGTCCATTCCAAATCCCACCCACCTGCCCTTCTTCGGAGTATTCTGGTAAGAAGGAACTGAGAGGGGTGGGGGCCAGCAGAGGTATATATTGGCCAGTATACCGGCGCCAGTATACCCCAGGGGGCTCCCCTGCTGGGCCAACGGGTACTGCTGAGGGAAAAATTTCTGACTACACGTGCACGCGGCGCGCACACACCTACATGGAATGGGCATGAGCAAGCACTCGAAGAACTAAAGTTGTGTAGTTTAATCATCTCAACTCTGAATCGCACTAAAGTTACTGATTTTACATTTTTTCAAGTTAGTTATATCCACTATATCCCCACATATCACTCTGTGTTTACCAAAGCATGAGAGATACTTTTAGTCCTTCTGAGTTATTACAAAATTTCTTCATTATGCCCCCTTTGAACTAAAAAGTGAAGTCTGAAAAGAAGGTCATAGTTTCATCTCTCTCTTGTAAAGGTAAGAAGTTGCAGATTACCACTTGGACTGTTGACTTTGAGACTCCTTCAGAAATTACATGACGTGACCAATATTAGCCTTGGCATTTTTATGGAGATATGGACGAAAAGTTGATACATTTAACAGCAGACTCCTGGTCCAAGTGATAAAGTAGTAGATTTAGTCAAACACCTTGGTAGAAAACGTGTTTATATAGAGAGAAATACTAACCAATAAGCATGGGTACAAGTCTCTGTACTGCTCTAGCCAATGTGGTAGAGCATCTTCAGAAGGTACCTGAAAAGCCATTTAAAAGTTTTATTAAAACATAAATGTGGCTTCTGAAAACTACAGAATAGCACACAGTATTTTGCTTGTGGCAACAGATAACACTGATGCGCTTTTTTTGGAGTACTAAATATGAACAATCCAAGTTATAATACCCTGCAAGCATTTTGGTACAGCCATGGTAAAACCAGAAATCCTGCTAAGGATGTAAATAAAAGCTTAGATATAGTAGAATCTCTGGGTACGTCTAGACTACAGGGTTTTGTTGACAGAAGTTTTGTTGACAGATACTGTTGACAAAACTTCTGTCGACAAAGAGCGTCTAGACTACATCCAGTTCTGTTGACAAAGCAAGCCGCTTTGTTGACATAACAGTGTGGACGCAAAGGACAGTGTAGATGCAATAATGCCATCTATCGACAGAACTCTGTTGACAAAAGGCGTTATTCCTCGTAGAATGAGGTTTACATATGTCGACAAAACTGCTGAGTTCTGTTGACGTTATGTCAACATAACTCAAAGGCAGTGTGGACGCAGGTATAGTTTTGTCGACAAAAGTCCACTTTTGTCGACAAAACCCTGTAGTCTAGACACACCCTCACTGACAGATACCTGTAGATCCCAGAATCTCATTTATAAAGTGATAAACTCAGACATCACAATTCAGTACGCTTTGTTCACTTCGTCTTACGCTATGCTTCTAAGTTCTTAACACTTCACAGTTAACTTGCCTATGAAAACACTGGCTACTAAAAGGAATTGTGTCGGTGAGATGAACTTGAAGGAACATCTTGTCTTCAGTTCAGCTGCTGATTCCAGATGCAGCCTTGCGAGGAACAACGAGCTGGGAAGAACCGTGGACCCATCCTGACATAAGTCTCTGGTGTACATCCTAAGACAGCAGTTTATAACATCCCTGCTAAGAGCCTGTATCGAGAACTGGGCGATTTGATGCATGTAATGTATTGTCCTTAACCTTACTCTCACGCTTTTTTCTTTCTTTTAGTAATAAACCTTTAGATTCTAAAGGATTGGCCCAGTGTGCTCTTGTGGGTAAGATCCAGAGTGTAAATTGACCAGGGAACTGTGGCTGGCTTCTTGGGACCAGAAGAACCCATCTGGGGTAGGTGAGATTGGGTTCTATAACCCCTCATCTGTGTGCAGGCCTGGGACTGATTGGGGCACAGGAAGAGCTGGGGTGTCGGCGGGGTTTTGCTCGTGAGGCTTCTGGCTGGCCAGATTGGCAGCTGAAGAATTCGGTGTGACTGGTTTGTGGCCTATTTGGGAAGGTTTCCAGTCTAGGGCTGTAAAGCCCCAAGTTGGAGCAATTCGCCCTGAGCAGACACCCTCAGCTGTGCCCAGACCCAGCCCGGTCCGTCAAACTAATATTCAGACTTTTTTAATACTTGATCACCATACAGCAGTGGTTCTCAAACTTTGTGCCACATGGTCCACGGGCCAAAAAGGGGTGTCGCAGCAAAGGGGTGTCAAGGTTCCTTGGCATTTTTGGTGGAACTCTATATTGCCCAGTTCTATCGCGTTACTAGGCAGCTGGAGAAACCCCTCTTTTTTGGGAAGAAGCGTCATTATGCTACCGTTCCTCCAGTGAGCTGTGAGGGAGGGGGGCGAGAAACCGCACCGTGGAGCCGCTTGTACTGCTCTCCCTTTTGAGCTGGTCTGGTGGGTCAGGGCAGTCCATGTGCTGTAAAAAGACG